GGGCATCATGTCGACCTGGCGGAGAAGTACGGGGCTCTTGTGGTGGCCTTAGAGCACCGTTTTTACGGCGCCAGCCTCAACCCTGACGGCCTGCAGGATCGCAACCTCCAGTTCCTCTCTAGCCAGCAAGCGTGAGTTGCAAATATCACTCGGTGGATTGAGAAGGGATAAAGTGGCACCATGCCCACGTTCTGTCCACAAAGTAGTCGATTTGCTGGGAGTAAACACCGTGGGCTGCCAACTTTCCAATATTTGGGGCTAGGATATCCCTACTTCAGCTGCGTAATTCCTGCACATTTCAGCATATTTTGGACAATTTATTCTCTTTACAGGGTGGGGCGAGAGGGTCCTTCTCCTCGAGAACTTAATGAAGCCTTCCTGGCTTCTGAGATTTCACCAATCAAAGTTTATGCCCTTCCACGGTTTTCATTGCTGTGAAAACCAGCAGCTGAAATTGTGGTCCTGGCTTCTGAGATTTCACCAATCAAAGCTTATGCCCTTCCACGGTTTTCATTGCCGTGAAAACTAGCAGCTGAGATTGTGGGGTTTTTTTTTTTAAAAAAAAAACAATGCTCTTATGTTCCTTTCTCAAAAAGACATGACTAAGCAGTTCGATAAATGGAAAGAAATCAGATGGGACTGAAAAACAAACACCAGAAGTTGCGTCAAGCTGACTGCTGTGTTCCATCTCGCGTCCCGGGCTTATTCTGCACTTGAGCAGAAAGATGGGACATGCACAGACTTGCGTTTGGGGGGCAGAGTTGAGCTTCAGTGCCAGGATCACATTACATGGTTTGAGAATTATTGCTTCTGGCGAGGCTGAAGCAAACCTTAGATGGAGGAAGTCATTTTCTTAAGGCAGCATCACGAAAGGGACGGGTGAGCACAATTCAGAGCGCTGGTTTTCACCTAAAAAACCCTAAATGATTTGGGCCCGAGCTATCTCGAGGACCACGTCTCCCTTGATGAGCCTGCCCGGCTGTTAAGATCATCAGGGGAGGCCTTTCTCTTGGTGCCATCATCCTCACGCTGCACTTGGTGAGGACCTGGGAGAGGGCCTTCTCTGTGGCCGCTCCCAGAGACTCTGGAACCCCCTCCCACTGCAGGCCAGCCTGGCCCCCTCTTAGCTGTCCTTCCTCCAGCAGGCAAAGACCTTTCTCTTCAGGCTGGCTTTCCCTCCATGATGGGCTGCCTGAGTGGGATTTTTAATTGGGTTATTATGTTTTACCGCATTGACTGTGTTTTTAGTATTGCTTTTGTTTACTATTTTCAGAGGGGTATTTGTTTTTAGTCTTGGTATACTTATTGTTTTTAGCTTTTAAATGTGGTCTTTTAACCACGTGAACCACCTTCTTATACTCATTGTTTTTAGATATTGTATTTTAATGAAGTGGTCTGTATGGAGTCCTTTTTAAGGAGAAAGGGTGGGGTAAGAAATATATTAAATAAAATAAATAAATACATAGTGGCATGCCTTGGTGTTTCAGCGATGCCGCAAAACATTTTGAAACGGGGCTGCAGGAAGAGGGTGGTTTTTGTTACCCCTTGACCCCAGCCAGGCCTTGAGAGAATGCCATCGGACATTTTCCGAGGACCACGTTGCCACCTTCTCCTTCCGCAGGTTGTCTGACCTAGTGTCCTTCCACCGGCTGGTCACCCAGAAATACAGTCTGACAGCAAACAATACCTGGATTTGCTTTGGAGGTTCATACCCGGGTTCTCTGGCGGCTTGGTTCCGACTCAAGGTAAGATCCAGAGGAATTTTGGACCTTCTCCAAAGGCGCTGGAAGATTCTGGTGGCTTGGGGCAGGAACCAGCTGGCCTGTAACCAGAAAGAGGATCAGGTTCACAGGATCACAGATTTCTAACCCCAACCATGGATTTAGATTGACCTTCCTTAAATCAAGTGCCCTTTAGCTGTTTTGGACTGCAGCTCCTATCATCCACACAAACCAAAAGCTGTGCAGGGGATGATCCCAAGATAAGTTTTCTGCCATCTTCAGCTTCTTCCACCCCTCCCTCTTTTTTTTCCAGTTTCCCCATCTGGTTTTCGCTGCCGTCGCATCTTCTGCTCCAGTCCGAGCCCAGCTGGATTTCACCGGATACAATAAAGTAAGGCGTTCTCCAGGTCCCCAATAACCTTTCTGCCTTCTAGGGTGCAACTTGGTCAGCCAAACGTCCCTCCCCCCCAAAGTTGGATCCAGGCAAGGGGAAAGATTTATCTCCTAGATTTTACTTCCAAGAAGACACACACTTCTCTTGTTTTTACCTCATTTTAGCTGAACCCTAATCCCATTGGAGACAAGGTTTTTTTCATATCATGATCTTCCTTTCATGGTTATAGCCCCTGCTACAACCCCTACCAGTTGAGATGTGTGGGGCTCTGTCCCTCCCAATATTCAAGAAATTACTCAAGACAAGAGTTATGTAAGGCAGCCTTTTACCTTCACATGAAGGCCGCCTAGAGTGGTCTTATAGGCCAGATGGGTGGGGTATAAATCAAATGAAGGAATGAAGGAATGAAGGAATGAATGATGTTAAGTTTAATGTTTGAACCGGATGGATGGATGGATGGATGGATGGATGGATGGATGGATGGATGGATGGATGGATGGATGGATGGATGGATGGATGGATGGATGGAGGGATGGACGGGAGAGGGAGGGAGGGAGAGATGGGTAGATAGACAGGCAGACGAATGGATGGATATTAAAGAACATCCTCTATTTTTTTAAAAAATACGTGTTGTCTGATCAGGTTTCTTATTCATAGGTTAAGGATCTCCATAGTTTGATGTCAACCTGTTTTTGCTCTTGAGCTGGGTTCAAACTATCGCAAACTATTTCAGCAGCCCTACGGGTAGAAGTTATATTTGGCATGCCAAGGCCCCCAGGTTATTGCTGGAGTATCTTTTGTAGAGAGCGTAGTGGGGCAGAAAAGATACTCGAGAGAGACCCACTGTCTTTCTAAGTCCTTGATATGGGGGGGGGACCTCCTTAAGCTTGTTCACCCTCTGCCCCTAAACCTTTTCTCATTTCTTCTAGGTTGTTGCTGCAAGCCTCTCAAATCCAGTGGTTGGTGGTTCCAAAGAGGTTCGTGTTCTAAACTGGAAAACTAAATAAAATCTCACAGGTTTGACTATTGGGCTCTTTCTATTGCTCCAGAGAGCTGCTAGTCTAGCTGGGAATCACAAAGTTTGAGACAAGGGGTTTTTTTGGATCCACTCGCAGACATGCTGAGGATTCTGGGAGTGGTTGTCCATAAAGTCCATCGCACACATCCCTCTGATTTCCACAAGGTTGACACACTCTTTCTGACTGCCTATTGGGTAAGAGTGGGGGCTCTGAGGCACAAGGGGCTTCTAGTTGAGATTGCTTGATGGAGGAGAACCTATTGGGGGAATGGGGTTTCAGCACCGTGGACAGCTCCGGCAAGGGTCAGATGAAATTCCAGATTCACTGCCCACAGCAAAACCTTAATTTAGCCTCCACTGCCTGGCTTTAAAATCTTGGAATCTTAAACCTGCAGAAGGAGGCACAGTGGGGAATTGAACTCCCAACCTCTGGCTTTGCAGTCAGAGACCTAAACCACTGAGCTATCCAACAGTTCTACTTGGCCACTAGACCACGGTGTCTTGGTTGTAAACTTAAGGTATCTCAGATCTAGCTGGCTGAAACCTAAACCACTGAGCTGTCCGGCAGTTCTACTTGGCCACTAGACCACAGTGTCTTTCATGAAAACCTAAGGTATCTCAGATCTATCTGGCTGATGCCTCGGACTAGGGAAATACAATGGACCCTCTGACCCAGTCTGGGCCCAAGTGAAGGGGTGCACGGATTGGTGCCTGACCTTCTGGTGACACTACAGCTTGATCCATGAGGACATTCATAGATTTCTGAATTTCTATGAAAAACTCCATTCCTGTGAATGGGGAAAGACACATGGGTATGACCGAGGATGGGAGAAGGAGCAACATGGTGCTGGGGATGTTGTAGATCTTTTCAGAGAAAAACACACTGGAGGGTTTTACTTCTGCCCAGAACCACCCTCTTGGCAATGGCAGAGAAGCTTGGGGGTTATGGTTCATGTGCCACCCCTGAGCAAAGAGGAGGAGGAGGAGGAAGGAGCCTCTTCCTTCTCTTAGACCTGCAGATCTGGAAGGGACCCTATGGATCATCCAGTCCAGCCCCTGTCAAGGAAGGCCCGGGGGGTATGGAAAAGAAAGACAGGCCGTAATGCATCTAGCCATTCAAAGCCCACACACCCACCGTCTCTCTCACACACACTTAAGCCTAGCAACATAACCTTCAGTAATCTAAGACAGATAAGAAAGAAAATACAGTGGTGCCCCGCTTAACGATTATCCCACTTGACGACGAATCTGCTTCACGATGATGTTTTTGCGATCGCAATTGCGATCTTTGCTGGACGAGCAGGTATTTCGCCCATTGGAATGCATTGAACAGTTTTCAGTGTGTTTCAGTGGGCTTTTTTATTTCGCTTGCCGATGATTCCATTCTACAGCGATTTCGGTGGAACGGATTATCCTCATCAAGCAAGGCACCACTGTAGAGTAGAAAGGGAATATGAGGATGGAAGTCTTTCCCTTTGCTCTAAACAAAATGGCCGGCTGTGCCGCTACAAGCTTATGCATACGACACCCCTAGTTTAGCCTACATGATGACCTGAAGACAATGCAAGACCATACATTGAACCACACAGCTTTCCTTTCTCACTCTATGAAGAATCTCCCCCACCTCACTTGTGGTGTTGTGTTTTTTTGTCTGCTTTTGCTTTGCCTACAGTGTCTTGAGGCCGTCATGGAGGCCTTCTCGTCCGTGCAGCATCTGGTGCGTGCCGGGCAGTTGACCATGCTGGCGAAGGACTTCCGCTCCTGTGGGGCTCTGGAAGGGTTCAACGACTGCCTCGAGATGCTCAGCAACCTGGCCGACATCTTCATGGGTGCCGTGCAGTACAACAACGAGGGTGGCGCCCTGTGGGGCAATGTGGCCAGCCTGTGCAGGATCATGACCAACAACAACACCGGCTCCCCCTACCAACGGCTTATTGAGGCCAACAACGTAAGGCAACCCTCTTGTTGAATCCCTTGCCTGGTCCCCTCTGGAGACTAGGGAATCCACCTAGGCGACTAGGTGGGCTAGCCTAGGAAAGAGGGGACTGGTGCTTAGACTAATCGGTTTCCATGGCTTCTCTTTCATCTCACAGGTATTCATAGAGAATTTGAAGTCCACCTGTGTAGAGAACTCGCATGCCAAGACATTGGAGGAACTGCGCAACACTAGCATCACTGGGATAGGTGTGGGGGAGAGACAATGGTACTTCCAGACATGTACAGAGTTTGGGTATTGTAAGTGAACCTAACTATTATCCCTTACCCTCTCTTTCCTTCCCCACGCTAGCCACACCCAATGAGATTCCGTATGAAGAATCTGATAAGCCCCCTTTTTGCCATCTCTAGAGGGAAACTATAAAAAAACAAGGGTAAGGCCAGTTCTCCAAGTCCTGTTAGGCTTTGTAGTTCCATTAAACCATGCACTGGAAAAGGGCATAATACTCACTCACTCCTTGCCAGCAATCAAAGAGTCTCTGCTGGCACTCTTGAGCACACTGGCGACTCTTCAATTGCTGGCTGGAAGTGAGTGAATGTCTGGCCATTTGCCTTCCACCTGCACAGTTGTGCAACTGGCTTTTAGCCATGATTATAACTCCTGGGATTCCTCCAGCAGGCTTGATAAGGCCGGGAACTGTAGTAGGGGGGAAAAAAAGTCCTCCTTCAAACTCTGCTGCAGTCTCATAATCTGTCACAACCTGGCCTAGTTCCTTCCTAATTATGAATAGGAGAGCTTTCCCGGTTGTAGGAATGCCTGCAATCCCTCATGGCCCCTGTGGTCCTCTTCCCCTCCCGCTCCAGACCAGACCTGCGAGGACCCCACCTGCCCCTTCTCCCACCTCCTGAACCTCACGTTCTCCCTCGACATCTGCCAGCAAGTCTTCAACATCTCCTCCCGCAACACCCAGGATGCTGTCTCATTCACCAACGACTACTACGGAGCCGACCACCCCAAAGCCAGCCGCGTCCTTTTTGTCAATGGTACGGAGGATTTGAGGGGAGAGGGTCAGGAGAGAGGGCCATGGCCAGGCTGTTGCATGCATCGCGGAATTGGGAATATTCCTGTTTTTCTCCCCCAGCTTGTATTGACTGCATAGATACAGCAGGACCCCCTCATCCACAGGATCAGGGTCCACTGATTCATTTGTCCACAGCCTGAAAATATTAAAAGAAAAATCCCCCCAAATACATATTTCTAACAATGAAAAATACATATTTCTAACAGAACTGGCCACTAGAGGGAGCCAGAGATAATGCGATGCATACCGGTTGCTAGAGAGATTGCCACGCTGCCGTTAACAGAACTGGCCACTAGACGGAGCCAGAGGTCAACTATGTATGGGGGTAGCTTGGAAGTGATCCATTGCAGATTTGGGGGGTGTGTGTTTCCTGCTGCAACTATTATGGGAAAGTATGCAGGAATGTTGCCAGCTGTTCACTGAGACCTCCTTTGTGTCCTGTTCACAGCTTTTTGTACAAATCATGGCACTCAAAAAACTTACTTTTGGACTACGGCTTCCAGAATCCCCCCACTGCCGCCATGAACACCAGGGGGATTCTGGGGGTTGTAGTCTGTAGCATTGTATTTCTCTTCCCCATCACTTCTTTAGATCCTTAATTTCTGAGCTTCGTCTCACTCATTGGGTCAGAATCCCTAATCTTTCTTTTTTCTTTTTTACTTCCTTTCCTTACTCGTCCCCTGCCCTCTCTCCAGGCGACATCGACCCGTGGCATGCTCTGAGCATCGTCAAGAACCAGTCCCGTTCTGAGCTGGCCCTTTTAATCAATGGCACGGCGCACTGTGCTGACATGATATCACCCAAGCCCACCGACCCACAGCCACTGGTCCAAGCCAGAGAGGTGAGCAGGGGGCTTTGGGGCTGAAAGAAACGCCAATGAAAAAAGCAGCTAAAGTTTCTACAGGGGTGGATGAAGAGAGAGATTTTTTTAAAAACCCTAAATTTTTCTTTAAAGAGAAACTGCCTATGTCTTCTTTTAAAGCAGAATTACGCGATCGCCCTTCTGTTTTAAAAGCAATTTGTGGGCTGTGGACGTCCAGTGTGCATTTTTCCTTAAAGAAAATTCAACACACACACTCTCTCTTTTTTTTTTAACTGCCACCCCTGAGATGTTGAAATTTGGTGGGTGGATCAGCCATTGCAGTCGAAATGACAGAATGAAGCGGGGAGGGCATATTAGCTAGCATGTCTCTCCCCCCCCCACCCTGGGGGGGGGAGATCAGGTTGTCTAAAGTTCAGCATCAGATGGCATATTAGCTAGCATGTCTCTCCCCCCCCACCCTGGGGGGGGGAAGGGAGATCAGGTTGTCTAAAGTTCAGCATCAGATGAGGTTGTCTCAAGTTCTACACACCACACTTTAAGAAGGATGCCAACAAACTGGAGCAAATTCAGAGGAGGGCCACCAGGAGGATCAGAGGATTTGGAAAACTATGAGGAAAGAGTGAAAGAACTGTTTAGCCTTGAAAAAAGAAGGCGGAGGGGGCGATAGGATCGCACTTTTCAAAGACTCGAAAGGTAGCCCTACAGAGGAGGATCTGTTCTCGATCATCCCAGAGTGCAGGACACATAAGAAGAATGGGCTCAAGTTGCAGGAAGCCAGCTTCAGGCTGAATACCAGGGGGGAAAAACTTCCTAACTGTTTGAGTAGTATGACAACGGAGCCAGTGATTTGAGGAGAGGTGGTGAGCAGGGCTCCCACGCTGGAGGCCTTCAAGAGAAAGTTGGACCACCCTCTGTCCGATCCGCTTGGATTTGGATTCCTGCCTTGAGCAGGAGGTGGGACTCGATGGCCTTAAGAGGCCCCCCTTCCCGCTCCACGATTCTGTGTTTCTAAAGGAATGTCCAGACCTGTACAAATCTCTAGCCTTTCAAAAAGCGTGGGGCCCACACACTCCGAAAGGGGATTCCTGCCTTGAGCAGGAGGTGGGACTTGATGGCCTTAAGTGGCCCCCCTTCCCGCTCCACGATTCTGTGATTCTAAAGGAATGTCCAGACCTGTACATATCTCTAGCCTTTCAAAAAGCATGGGGCCCACACACTCTGAAAGCAATGGAAAAGCAAGAGCCAATACAACTGGTTCCAGCAACGTCGCAGGAGTTGCCAGAATGACACGAACTGCCTCCGGGACTCCGGCTCCAGATTTTGCCTGGAGGTTATCTCCTTAAGCCTTTTCCATGAATGGATATAGCCACAAGGCAGTGGAGGTTTGAAATCGGAGTTTTCCTTCTCCTAGACGCCAGCCATTAATCTGTGCCCTTAATCACATACATTTGAAGAGGTGCCCTCTCCACAGGAGCCGTGAGGAAGGGGTTCCAGATGCATCCAAACGCAACTGGATCAGGCTTCCGTCTTATATGCGTCTGAGGTCCTTCTCTCTGTGGCGCCAACAAGCCCTTCATGCAGTTGTCCAAGACTTGGGGACACGGCCTTGTTTGTGGTGGCACCACGTCTTTGGCGTTCCCTCTCGAGGAAACCATATGCAGTCAGTCCTTGCCTTTAGCAGCATGTTACCAACTCATTCATTCCCACCTGCATTTTGGTTGATTTTGTTTATTGAGGCTTTTATCCCGTTTCCTGTTGGAGCAGATCACATACTAAATACAACTTGTTGGCTTTTTTTTTACATTTAGATGGGCTGCTTTCTATTTTCAAGCCCTTTATCCATTTTTTCAAGGGTTTTTATTTTACCATGAAAAGCACCCTGGAAATCAAGTCCAGAGGTGAGAGAAATAAAAAACAGAGGCAGCTGCTGAATTTCTTATGGTTTCTGCCGGCCAGGGAAATGGGACCTTTTCCAAGCTGTAGGTCAATGGGGGGGGGGATGTCTCGGAAGGCAGATGAGAGACATAAATGGGCCAAATAAATAAATGGGATCTAAATATTGTAAAATAAATCGAGAGAATTTGCTGTAGTGGATTGGGCTTTTTGAGTTTGGAGGTGGGCTTCCTGTTGAGAGATACAGGACATTCTCTCTCAATGGTAGGGTAACAAGTGACTAACCCTCAGCGTTGTTTTTACCCCCCAGAAAATCACCTCTCAAGTTGGTGAATGGCTGAACTTGGCGAAAAAGATCCCTCGAGATGGCTGAGCCGCCCAGCGGGAAGACTTGTGACTTTAAACTGAAGGAGCCTTTGCCTGCATCCACCGTGGAACTGCTGAACGACATTGTTCCGACCTCTTGTCTTTGACTCTTACAACATAGGAACTGTGATTTTAATTTTTTTTTATGGTTTCTGTGCATCGCCTTGGGACCGATGCTTCTCCCACAATGCTTTTTTTTTAAAAACATGTTTACACTTCAAAATATTTTTGCATCACTTTGAGACTAATTCAAACAGCACAGCGTTTGTGATTTCTTTGCTTTATTGTATATGTTTTGCACTTTACTTTAAAAATACAGATTTTTTAAATATAATTCATTTGCCCTTCTTGATCTTATGGGGCTCTGTCGACAAAGCTAAGGAAGCGTGTATAAGGAGGGTGGAATTAAGGCTCAACTATAGTCCCAGCCTGCACTTTCAGAAGGTCATTTCAAAAGATCCTGCCGAGCAGAAACGCATAGCTGTGTCGATATCTCCTGTGTGGTGCTGGTTATCGGCAAGCAGATGCTCTTTTGAGAAGTTTTCCATCTCCTGGTTTAGCTCCTTCAGGTCTTGGATCTCGAGTGCGAGGTTATAGAGCTGGTTGAAAAGGGCCAGGTCCGCCAGGCGCAACCTGTGCTGGAATAGCAAAGGAAATCTAGATTTCAGTCTTTAGTAATATTTGTATTTATCAGACACTACAGAGAAAGCTAATATATTCCTGCCCCAGGAACCTTAGAACCCATATTTAAATAATTTTGGCCCGTGGGGGGGGGGGGGTAAACAAAAAGAGGAAGGCAGAATCGGAGCAAAGAAGCAACTACAGCAGGACTCGCTATCGGCAGGATCACTATCAATTGATTCACTTCTCTGCTGCCTGAAAATACTAAATTAAAAAAACCAAACAAACAGAAATGTGCATTTCCAGGGTGTATTTACCAGAACTGGCCACTAGTGGGTGCCAGCGACCATTCAATGTATAGCATTCCATACATTCCATTTTTCTTGGCATCTGCCGGTGGGGGGAGGGGCTTGGAACTGATCCCCTATATGAACCATGCTGTCCTAATATAGTTACAAATAAGTTAGGGAACTGTAACTAGTTTCTTTTGGATGGCCGCTTTTTGGATGACATATTACAGGGGTGTTTGAAGTGGGAGAGTTTAATCCACAAAAGCGCGCAGAAGGGGCCACAATAATTTATTTTTGTAAACCACTTCCTGGGAAAGGCGTCGTTTGGTGTAGCAGTTCTTGGCGGGAACGCCCACCTTTTAGAGAGCGGAGACTGGGCTCTGGAGAGTCCGAGGATTGTTGGCCCAAATAGATCAGCAGAAAGGAGACCATTTGTGGAAGAAGCGACCACAGTTGCAACCGTTTCTGAATCAGCTCTTTTGCTATACCTCTTGAACATTCCATTTTTCTTGGCATCTGCCGGTGGGGGGAGGGGCTTGGAACTGATCCCCTATATGAACCATGCTGTCCTAATATAGTTACAAATAAGTTAGGGAACTGTAACTAGTTTCTTTTGGATGGCCGCTTTTTGGATGACATATTACAGGGGTGTTTGAAGTGGGAGAGTTTAATTCACAAAAGCGCGCAGAAGGGGCCACAATAATTTTGTTTGTTTGTTTTCAAGATACAATATTATAATTTGCCACCGGAGGTAACAGAAGGTCAAGACAGACAACAAATCGCTTTCTTCGGCAGGCAGTGCAGCATTAGAGGAGCGGCCGCAGAGCACTGGAATGCCATGATTTCATTCATCAATTACATTAATAAAATAATAATAATAATAATCCAAGCTCCGGGCCCAAGAGTGAAAGATGGACAGGTGGATCTGTTGTCACGATGAGAAGCAAACAACTTCCTGGGAAAGGCGTTGTTTGGTGTAGCAGTTCTTGGCGGGAACGCCCACCTTTTAGAGAGCGGAGACTGGGCTCTGGAGAGTCCGAGGATTGTTGGCCAAAATAGATCAGCAGAAAGGAGAACATTTGTGGAAGAAGCGATCACAGTGCAACTGTTTCTGAATCATCTCTTTTGCAATACCTCTTGAACACTGTGTTAATAGCAAACACTATACATAGCATGGTCTCTGGCACTCCCTAGTGGCCACCTTGGGTAACTTCATCATTAGAAATATGTATTTCAGAGATTTTTCTTTTAATATTTTCAGATCGTGGATGAGTGAGTCAGAGGATACCGGTCCCACAGATAAAGGGGTCCTACTGTACTCTGGCTTATTCTTTTTCTGTTGTACTCCGGCATGTATGTAAAGGTAAAGGTAAAGGTTCCCCTTGACAATTTTTGTCCAGTCGTGTTCGACTCTAGGGGGCGGTGCTCATCCCCGTTTCCAAGCCATAGAGCCAGCGTGTTTGTCCGAAGACAATCTTCCGTGGTCACATGGCCAGTGCGACTTAGACACGGAACGCTGTTACCTTCCCACCGAGGTGGTCCCTATTTATCTACTTGCATTTGCATGCTTTCGAACCGCTAGGTTGGCGGGAGCTGGGACAAGCGATGGG